CCTGCCGCAGCCGAGCGCGGAGGGGCTTGGGGAAGTTTACAGCAGATCGCTGTTGATTCCCGCTGGCTGGGAAGGGCAGGCTGTGTCTCTCTCCCAGGCCGGATCCTGGAGCCGTCGATGACCCCTTCTCGGACTCCTATTTTCATGGGGTTGTGGCACTCAATTAAGGGCTGCTCCCCAGATCCCAGTGGTACCACGGCTGTGTCTAGACAAGTTTGTCTGAGAGCCCAGGTGGCACCAAGATGTTCCCCCTGGGTCTGAGGTGAAAGAGAGAAGTGGCACCCTAGTTTCAGGCACTTACATATTGCCCTCAGCCTTGATCCCCCCAACCCAGGAATCAAGACGTGTCTTTGGAATGACTCCCATCTATGGGCTGAGGCTTGGAAGGGGAGTAGGAGGCGAGTGGGCTTATTAAATGGGAAACTTGGGGCTGAGCAAACTGGACCCCTTTGGGCAGGGAAGGAGAAGGAACAGTTCCTGGAAGAAGAAAATAAGGCACACAAGGAGCTCTGTTTTGTGAGGGGATGATGTTCTTGTTATTATTGAGGTTAATAATGGTAATGATCTGGTATGGCCGGGTCAGCCCCGGGAGACTGAGCTCTGCACGGTCCTTTATCACAGAGGCTTCTCTGGAGAAGTCACGGGCTCCCCAGCTTGGCTGTGGTAGGGGAGAATAAAATAAAGATCTTTCCTCCCTTCTTCTGCCCTTTTCTCTCCCACTCTTTGAGAACTCCAGAAAAAGGGGAACTTGTAAAATCTCTGTCATCCCCATCATTTCCCTCTGCTCTCTCCAGTTCACTAAAATGCACTTCTTTGGGCACTGGGCTTTCGAGGGGCGCCCTTATGATTTGTTCGGCAAGCTGACCGAGTCCCCATGAATTCTGTCTCCTATCCTGGAGGAGACCCAGAATTTTCTTGCCCGCTCCATGGAATTCTCCCTCTATCCTTAGCGTTTCCCAGTCTCTGCTTTTCTTGGTCCCGGGGGCCTCAACCCATGGGTCCCTGGTGCCTCATCCCATGGGTCCCTGGCAGCTCAGAGGCCAAGAACAGATTAGGGCATCTTGAGATGCCCTCATCAACCTCCCCAAAGGGTTCTCAGCTTCCTATCATCTCTTTAATTCTGGGCGCACCAGTCCAGGGAGCGCTCCATAGATTACCCTAAAGCCAGCCTAATTCTTGGATCTTTCAAACTCGCATTTAGGTTCCTTTAAAAGTCCTTTCCTTTCTAACAGGAAAGTTCAGATTACAAATCTCCAGCAGTGCAAGCTTCCTGCAGCCAGGAGTCAGAATTTTCAACAAAAACAACAACAATATTCATAATAATAAGAATTAAAGCTTTTATCAAAGGGAAAAAGGGATGCCCCACCCCCAATTTTAAAGGGGATATAATCCAGCAGCCTCGGATGGGAGTGGGGGTCAGTGAACCCAGGATGAGCAAGGAAGAGGGTGGGGACCCAACCTCTAACTAACAATTTCTCCAGCATAAAAATGAAACATCAAATTCGTTAGCCCAGGGCCTTCATTTTTCCCCTTCCACATTATAACTAGTTATTGAACTCGCTGGAAGATCTAAAGGCCATTTGCGAAGAGACAAATTTCAATGGAGTTTCCCCATCAATAACCCCATGGCAGTGACCTATTGGAACAAGTCAAACACCCGAGGTGAAATGCAGGTCACTCTGTCTAACCAATATTAAAATGCGGCCACTTTTTAAAAAGCCACTTTAAACGAGATTTGAGGAAAATTGAATTCCAGGGAAGGCAAGGCAAGGAGGGGGAAATCCACAAGAAGACCTTGCCTATGGTCTCGGAACAAACAAGAGAAATTCATCTTTAATATTTTAAAGGGGGGCAAATTAACATTCCATGATTGCTTTTTTTTTTCCTTTTTGAGACTATAAGCGATTCCAGGAGGAAAAAAAAAGGTTGAGTATTTTCTGGTGACACGTCTGGGTTATTAAAATCATTTTAGACCAATTCATTACTTTTACTGACAAGAGATTTAAGAAAAAATCAATTAAGCATTTGCATATTCTTTTGCATACATTAGCCCTGCCTGCTGGCATTAGAAAGGGACAAAAACACACATATATACAGGCGCGCGCGCGCGCACACACACACACACACACACACACACGAAAAAATGAGATAAGAGTCTTGCTTCAGTTTGGGGTTTTCAAGTTGCTTGAGAAAAAATAAAAATGAAATGAATTACTTGATTGCATACCATCTAAAAGTCAATTTATTTGAAGAAGAGGAAAGAGACATGTTGCAATTTTTAATCTCTAAAACAACAGCAACAAAACCGCGTGCACACACACACAAAAATCCTGCACTTCCCAGAGTGGGGAAAGGCATGACCCTTATTTTCCTTCTCTTTGCCCTCCAAATCCTGAGTTGGTTCTCCCATTTATTTTTCTCCCCAGGAAAATCCAGGGAGTCTGAGAGGTGAGATTTTAATGCAGCACGGAATCTGAGGAGCCGCTGAGGTCTCCCGGCCGGCAGCTTGTTACTGGGGAGGGGGGAATATGGGTTAGCCACCGGTCAGTATGGTAATCTGGGCACAATAAGGCCTCGCACACAATGGACACATATTTTTCTTCAGCAGTGTCAGAAGGGAAGCGCTTTGTACTGAAACATGTTTCCGAAAGAGAAACCAGATCCAGATCCAGATTAGAAAGGAGATGGGGAGGGAGCATTTGGAGAGCATTTGGAAGCTGGCAAAAGGTGGTCAGAAAAAATAAAATCGGGGCAGAGAGAGGTGGAGGCAGAGCGAGGATGGAGATCCTTGGGCTGGCAAGGCAGGAGGGCGAAGCACAAAAGGAGGACCTTTTACAGGACCAGATACAAGGATTCATCACAGGCAAGAGCCGCTTAAGTGCCCCCCCCCATTAAGCCAGTGCAGGAGCCCTCTGAAGGGAGTTTATTTCTGTGCTTGTAATAATTTCCAGGTGAAAATGTTTGTATGTATGTGTGTGGTGGAGTCTGGCTTGCTATTTTCCATGTGATAGGTGACTTCCTTGCTATTAAGCTATAGGAGCCCAAAGAGAGTTTTTTTGGTAAATGATGTAGATGAGTGTGGGTATATTTGGGGGAATCTCCCAGATTTCACTTTCTGGACGTGCATGTTAAATTAGCTGTGTAAACCTGGAACGAGAACCCTACATACTTATGACTGCATAAGGAGGCATTCAGTATATTAATAACTATTAATAGTACGTATGCATATATATTTATTAGCCATAATAACCAAAGACAGACTTGACATTCGGTTGGAGGCATTCATCTGAACTCTCTGTATCTACTTACACATACTGGCCCGAAGTGGGTTTCCTGCTCCTGCTCTCTCGACCCACCTGCAGGAGCTCAGAATCCTGGGGAATGGGGGTGTAGGGTGGGCAATGCCTTGGGAAGGACTCCCTAACAAGCCCCAGAGGGTGAAGAGATTGAAGAGAGTCAAAGCGGAGGCGGGCTGGTAGAAGGAGAGTGTGAGGGCTGGGAGGAGGGAGCCAGGCCGAGACCTCACCTCTCCAGGTGGGGAAGAGAATATTCGGGGCCAGGATGGGGTGGGGCAGCCTGATCCAGGTGCAGGCCTGGAAGGGAGGTTGGAGGTGGAGCTGGAAGGCTCTCTCCTCCATCAGCAACCCTCCCCTCACCCTACCTGAGCTCTCAGGAGCTTTGGCTCTCCCCACCGGGCAGCGTAGGGCTTTGGTTCAGACTTTTTATGTAGGTCAGCATTCAACGTTGGTTTTCCTTTGCTCTGTTCCAGCAGCTTATAATTAATCCACCCCACCACCAAAAATTACAAAAAATAAAACCCTCACACACTCCAAACCACTATCAACCTCAAGTCTCAAGTTCCTCTTCCAACCAAACCAGCCAGTCCTCAAAGGAGAGGGTCCTGGACAGGAGTGGGCAGGGGCTCTCAACCAGCTTTGGAAATTTGGGCATCTCCTCCAAGAGATGGTCGACCTCCAGAGAACTTCTGTTCCCTCACCCCCCTGGTGGCGGGGGGGTGGGCAGCACTGTCCTCTTGGGGACAGTGTATCCAGGGACTCCCAAGCACCAGCTCCTCCCTGGTGAGCCTGGAGAGAGGGTGGGAGCCTGGGCATTGGAGGGGAAGGCAGCCAGGGGCCCAGGCAGAGAATCAGCACCTTTGGGCACAGGCTGTGGTCCAGCGTCTCTCCCCTCCCAGCCCTCAGGGCAAGCCCTCATTTGGAAGGGGGGCCCCTCTCCTGCATCCCAAAGGTGGTGAGAGACAGGTTGGGAATCTCCCGCCTTCAGTCTCCCTCTCACAAGGGCTTTATTTTTTTTTCTTTCCCCTCCTCATTCCCTTAATTGCAGATGTTCTAATTAAACCCTCAAATAGTTGTTATGCCGTTTTAAAAGGTACTTATTCAAGTGTCAACCAGGCTGGGCTGGGAGGAGGCAGCGTAGGGCGGCGAATTAAAGGTAGATTGACTAATCACGGCGGCGATCATAATAATAAAATCAGAGGGAAAAGAATCACATTACGACTTTTCGTGGAAAGGAGGGAGCAGGCAGCCAGCGGCCGCCAGCCCTGCCGCCGACACAAAGAGTGCGGGCGATTCTGCGAGACTGATTTATGACGTTTTACAGCCCTATAAAAGCTGTAGCGACGAGGCAAGCGCTCCTACCACCGCTGGCAGATTTAGTCTAATAAATAAAACATAAACAGTTAACTTTATGTGTCACTTTTATTGTTATCAAGTAAAATATAGCCGAGCCCCGGCAAGCTATGATTTTAAACTATAATTGTTATCAAGTACAACAAGGGGACCCAGCTCCCTCCCTGGGCTCTCCCTTCTGCCGCACCCCCAACTCTGAGTTATGGGATCAGTTAATTGGAATTGGTGGCATGACATGGCCACCCCAGTTGAGGGGGGGTCGGAAAGCAGCCCTTCCTTGCCCCCTCCCTCCCCCATGGCCCTGCCAGCCCTCCATCAGGATATTCCTGTGGGTGGGTGGCAGAGAGAGGGGAAGGGGCAGCAATGGACTGGAGCCCCTCAAGGCCGGCCCAGCCTCCCCAGCTTGGTGAGCTCACCCCTCAGCCTTTGGAAGGCAGCCTGGAGCTGGCCCTGGGGAATGTGTGTTTACACGTAAACACATGTGTTACATGGACACAATCCCTAGCCGGAAGCAGGCTTTGGCCACACAGGCCTCTCTCTTAGCTAGGTCTGCCATCTGTGGGGATGGAGAAAGAAGAGCTCCCAGGACCTTGGCCGGGCACCATCACAGGGCACTGACTGCTGGCAGAGCGTTCTCTTCCTCGCCTCAGCTCCTTAGGAATCAGCCTTGGAGGTAGCTGTCAGAAAAGCAGCAGGCCGGCCAGAATGGAGAGTGGAAACAGCAGCCAGCAGGCGAAGAGATCCTCTGCTCTGGGGCTGGGGCAGGGAGGGTCAGTGGGTACTAGGGGAGGGCAAGGCTTCTGAACTCTGCTTTTGCCAACCACTTCCTGTCTCTCTTCAGCGGGGGCTCAACCCCCAGACCTCCAGAAATGACGTCAGAATCATTTGCATCCCGCTGTCTCTACCTGCCTGGTCCAGCTGGGACCCTGCCTCGTGGCCAGAGGGTTGGGTGAGTGTATATGGGGAAGGGGGCTGGACTCTGGTATCCTTGGATGGGGGGCGCCCCAGGCTCTCCAGCCTCCTGGGCTCAGCCTGGGCCCCTCCCCATCCAACCTCCACTCCAGTCCTCATTCAACTTCCTCTTCCTGCGAAAGAGGGGCGCTGCCCAGTGACCTACACAGACTGAGACAGGATCGCCATGAATGGAGACCTCTGGAGAAGCTCAGGAGCCCAGGCCCAAGGGGCCCACCGGAGGCCCAAGCGGAGACCCTGGGAGGGGGCTGAATCACAGCCTCGCGACAGCCCCTCAATGCCCAGCCTTTGGAGGGGAGCTGGGGGCTTCCCATGTCCTTTTGCAGGGGAGGGTTGTCAGTCGGCGGGGTGTGCACTGGGGGCACCCCAGCCCCTGCCAGCTAACCCCACATCACCACCACCACGACCCCCAGCACCACCACCACCACCACACACAAAAAAAATTGGATACATTTTGAATAAAGCGATTCGGTTCCTTATCCGGGGACTGGGTTGCTCCGTGTGATTGGCCGGCGGAGTCACATGGTGAAAGTAACTTTACAGGGTCGCTAGCTAGTAGGAGGGCTTTATGGAGCAGAAAAACGACAAAGCGAGAAAAATTATTTTCCACTCCAGAAATTAATGATCATGAGCTCGTATTTGATGGACTCTAACTACATCGATCCGAAATTTCCTCCATGCGAAGAATATTCGCAAAATAGCTACATCCCTGAACACAGTCCGGAATATTACGGCCGGACCAGGGAATCGGGATTCCAGCATCACCACCAGGAGCTGTACCCACCACCGCCTCCGCGCCCTAGCTACCCTGAGCGCCAGTATAGCTGCACCAGTCTCCAGGGGCCGGGCAATTCGCGAGGCCACGGGCCGGCCCAGGCGGGCCACCACCACCCCGAGAAATCACAGCCGCTCTGCGAGCCGGCGCCTCTCTCAGGCGCCTCCGCCTCCCCGTCCCCAGCCCCGCCAGCCTGCAGCCAGCCAGCCCCTGACCATCCCTCCAGCGCCGCCAGCAAGCAACCCATAGTCTACCCATGGATGAAAAAAATCCACGTTAGCACGGGTAGGCAACTTTGCTTTTTGCTCTCCCCCTCCCTCCCTTCTTCCCCTGCGCTCCCCACCCTCCTCGGCCCCCTCAGGCCCCCGTCCTCCTTTCTCTCCTTCCCCCTCTCTCTCCAGGAGCGACTCTGGGTTAGCACAATTGAACTGGATTTACGAGCGAGAATGGGTAATTACATCCCCCATAAATTTTATGGCTTAGCTACTCTGGGCAGTCCGAGCCATGTGCTACGATCTGTTATGTATGTGTGAAAACTATGCTCGCTTTCTAAGGGCGCATAAATAATTCAGTGTCGTTACAATGAGGATTCCCCTCTTATTACACTACAAAGTCTCCAGCTTCCTTCAACTTCTTTATAACCCATTTAGCTTGATGACTTTATTTCCACCACCCCCTCCTCCAGCTCCACCGAGCTGAGGATGGGGTGAGGGTTGGGGGCGGGGAGCCTGCTGCCTCTGAACCCCACTATTTGCTTTTCCCCTCCCCCCCCAGTGAACCCCAATTATAACGGAGGGGAACCCAAGCGCTCGAGGACAGCCTACACCCGGCAGCAAGTCCTGGAATTAGAGAAAGAGTTTCATTACAATCGCTACCTGACCAGAAGGAGAAGGATCGAGATCGCCCACTCGCTGTGCCTCTCTGAGAGGCAGATCAAAATCTGGTTCCAAAACCGTCGCATGAAATGGAAGAAGGACCACCGACTCCCCAACACCAAAGTCAGGTCAGCGCCCCCGGCCGGCGCTGCGCCCAGCACCCTCTCGGCAGCCACCCCGGGCACTTCTGAAGACCACTCCCAGAGCGCCACGCCGCCGGAGCAGCAGCGGGCAGAGGACATTACCAGGTTATAAAACATAACTCACACCCTGCCCCCACCCCGCGCCCCCATCCACCCTCACACACAAATTGACTCTTATTTATAGAATTTAATATATATATATATTTCGGTTTTTTTCTCTCTTCTTCCCACCTTATCCCTTGTCAATTCCAAACAGACAAAACAGATAAACAAACAAGCCCCCTGCCCTTCTCTCCCTTCCACTGTTAAGGACCCTTTTAAGCATGTGATGTTGTCTTAGCATGGAACCTGCTGGGTTTTCTTTTTTTTAAGGCCGTTTTGGGGGGTTATTTATTTTTTAAGGAAAAAAGCTGCAAAAATTATATATTGCAAGGTGCGATGGTCTGGTTTGGGTGAATTTCAGGGGAAATGAGGAAAAGAAAAAAAGAAAGAGAGATTTTTAAGCCAATTCTCATCCTTCTTCTACTCCTCCTCCTTCCCCCCCTTTTCCTTAGGCCTTTTGCATTGAAAATGCACCAGGGGAGGTTAGTGAGGGGGAAGTCATTTTAAGGAGAACAAAGCTATGAAGTTCTTTTGTATTATTGTTGGGGGGGTGCTGGGAGGAGAGGGGGGAAGACAACAGACAAAGCTAGATGCATCTGGAGAGCCTCTCAGAGCTGTTCAGTTTGAGGAGCCAAAAGAAAATAAAAATAAACTTTCAGTTCAGAGAGGCAGTCTATAGGTAGAATCCCCTCCCGTCCATCGTGGTTATTGTGTTTTTGGACTGAATTTACTTGATTATTGTAAAACTTGCAATAAAGAATTTTAGTGTCGATGTGAAATGCCCCGTGATCAATAATAAACCAGTTGATGTGAATTAGTTTTACGTCAATGTCTGATGGTTTCTTTTATCCCCCTCCTCCTTCTGGCCTGGTAACATCCCACCTTCTCTATAGTTGACTAAGTTTACTCAAAGCAAACACACAAACCTTAACTCTCCACTCCAGTTTTCCAATGTCCTTAGAAGAACCAGCAATGGGGTTGGGGCAGGGGATCCTCAGAAGAGGGGAGGTGGAAGATGAGGGCTGATTTTTCCTGTGCCTTCCCTGAGTCTGCCAAGGGGCCAGACTCTCCTGGGGGCACTTACAGTGGAGCTGGGGGGTCTCACTTTTCTATGGTTAGCCACAGTGCCTTCTTTTTCTCTATTTCCCTCTCCTCTCTTCTCTCTGCTGAGTAGGCCTGCCTAATTTGCAGACAAGAAGGCAAGTTTAGGGAGTGGGAGAGAGAGGAGTTTTCATCTTTTAGGGCTCTTTTGGGAGGAGGGATTAAGGAAGATGCCCCCTCAACACGCGTGTTCTCCTTAAAAGAAGAAAGAGTTGAGCTGGTGATTTTGAAGCAGCAAAGTGACCTGTCAGGGTGGCTTTTCTGTTTGTTTAGACTTAGAAAGAAGGGTAAAGTGGAGGCCAGAGGCCTGGGAGGCCCCCTTGCATGGGTAGGCCTCAAAGCCTGATGCCTGGAGATAATGAAGAAGTTTTATTTTTTTCCCTAAATTTTATCATGGACCTGCCAGGTGTTGAGAAAAGACACAGGGAGAGGCAGGGACCACCCCTCTTCCTACCACCTCCCAAGTCCCGGCAGGGCTTGGGGATAGCCTGGGGGATAGCTGGAACAAGGCTCTCTGGCTGGAAAAAAAATTTTTTCTGATTGTTTCCGTGGGGCTAAGAAAAAGGAAGATCAAAAGAAGAAAACTGGCCTGGATTATTTTAATAATTAATTTAGGCCAAAGGCTCCCAAATAATTCTAGTCCTGAAGACCAGGCCGTAATCAAGACCTGCTCAAATTTTTGCTTTTTTGTCAGGAGAAGGGTGCAGGGAGCAGTTGGTGAGCTTCTCAGGCAGTTTATCCAAATTTCAGGCTAGAAGACTGTCAGAATTAGAAGAGAGAGGGAGAAGAGATCTGGGGTGAGTCGGGGAGCCACAGATACCCATTCCTCTCTCCCCACATTCTGAAGTGAAAGGCAACCACAGGGCCAAGTTGTGAAAATCTGTTGGCTGTGCTTTGGATTTATTTCCTCTTAAACCACTTGCTGGCTGCTACTTGGAGTGAAGTGTGTGTGTGTGTGTGTGTGTGTGTGTGTGTGTGTGTGTGTGTGTTGGGGGAATCACTTGTCCTGTAGGTCTACTTTCTCCTCCCTCAATGGTGCCCTGGAGACAGCACAACACGCTGCCTACAGTGTGAGGAAGCAAGGCCAACAATTATCTGGAGTTATTTTCTGTAATCAAGTGAATTAGGGGCCAAATCTGACTGTAGCTTCTATCATCTTGAGACTGTTGACTTTGTGGCAGGAGAAGGGGGTCTAGCTGTGCTTGGGAAAAGGGAAGGAAGATCTGAGGGGTGGACTTGGGTGTCTTTCCAAGCCTGTGAGGAAGCTAAGATGGAAAGAGAGGGGAAAGAAAAGGAAATTAAGATTCCTAACTTTGCTCATTTGGTTTTAGGGGAATTCACCCCCTCTCCTCCAGACAGTGGAAGAGATGAGAAAAAAGGAGGGGAAGAATCACTCTCTTTTATTTCTTAAGCTTCTCCCTGAACTTGCTGAAGGGACGCTCTTCAGCTCAGGAAAAGCAGCATAAAAGACGGGCAGTTCCTTCATTTCCCCTTCTGGAGGGGCTTCGGGGTTTCTCCGTCCTGCTCTCGCGAACACACACATGGTCCTTCTCTGTGTGTCTCTGTCCCTCTTGGTCTGTAAAGGGGAAACATCAGAAATCCATAATTCTTGACAAAACAAAACTAAACCCTCTTGCATTTGAGTTTTTGAAGATTTTGGCCTCTGGCCTTCCCTCCAGTGGGCTCCATTCTCTCCTCTTTCCCCAGAGCTCTTCTTGCCTTGGACCTGACCATCCAGAATGGGATCCGGCTGCCGGGAAGGGGTGGGGTGTGAGGAGTGAGGCGTGGGAGACCAACGTGGGCCGGGGCCCCCACTCCAGCAGTCTTGGTCCCCCACTGCTGCTGCTCCGCCCGGTGCTGCTCCAGCCTCACTGGAAAGCCGAGGCCAGGGCTTTTATTGAAGTTGGGTTGAGCAGTGAGGAAGGCTGGGGGGGGGGGAGGACGCAGCCCAGGTTCACGGGGAGGACACAGCATTTTCTCTCCCATCGCCTTTATATTCGGCAGCGCCTCTGACCTCTCCCCCACCCCCATCTCCGCCGCCCTCCCAAGCCAGCCCTGGCTCAGCCCCCGGTCTCCAGATAGGATGCCACTGCTTTTGTAGGGCTGGGGGTTTCTTGCCCAGAGTAATGGGAGAGGCAAGTGCTTGAATGCCTGCTAGCGCGTTGTATCTCTCCCTCCAATGGCTAAGTAAAAAGAAGACGGGTGAAAACGGCGACACCAATCTTCCAAGGTCCTCCTCTCCAAGCACCAGGAGACCCCCACAGGTCAAAAATCCCCTTGACATGTAAGTAGTTAGAACTCGATCTGCTGGGGGTGAGGAGCACAGCAGTTTCTACTCTGTCTCTGTTGCCATTTCATTTTTATCTCCACTCCTGCTCTTGGGGAGGGAAGGCGGGAAATCCGATCATGAGATCATGCACGGAGAGTTCTGCTTGGGGAAAATGGAGTTTCTGTGCGGACCCGTACCTGAGGAGTGAAGAAACTTGGCTCCAGAAGGAGAGAGAGCGCCAAGAAAGTGAGCCTGGGGGGAAGGACTGGGGAACTTTGTTTCTCTGAGGGCCGCTGGCTGCTGCTTGTGGGAAGTTTGCTACAAAGTTTCCTCCGCAATCTGTGCATCAGCTTTTTTCCTGCGTAGACTTGGCGACTGCAATCCACAGACATCTTCCTGCTGTTAGATGTATGTGTGTGCCTGTGTATTTTGGGGGGGGGGGGTTGAAGGGAAGATAAAACAAAGGGCTCCCCAGAGCGTGGGGCCAGGGTACCCTCTGCAAGGCATGGTTTGTCTGCTTTTCTAAGATTAGGGGAGACTGACTCCGAAGGGGGCCCTTGAGATGGAGGGGGCTATCATGGGAAGGAGCAGTGTTCTGGGGCTATTCCACCATCTTTTTCTCTGCTTTTTGCCCAGTCCTGGGGGAGTGTGCCCTCAGGAAGCCACTTCTCGTGGTTTTCCATAGCACCCCATCTTTAGAGAGCTAATTCTAATTAAAATATTTCCCTTTCAAGATCCCAGGCTTGGAAAAGGGGAAGGAGGCTCCCCCAACTCCAGCGGCCACCAGAGCAGAGGGAATATTTATTACCTCTCTGGATATCATTACCTAAGAATACAATTTTATGAACTTCCTAATCTGTTAGCTTGATTTATCTGGATGGGCAGGGGCCCAAAATAAACATTTGGGGGATTTGGTAGGGGGAAAAAAGTCTTTGCCTCTGACCAATCTTTCTGATAGAACTGACCACTCCTTCGGCCTGCTTTTACTGCACCCCGTATCACTTAGCCCCATTTTAATTTTTCTCCTGCAGCGTGTGGCTGCTTCGGGTATCCAAGTTTGAGCTGCCTCTTGAGAGTTAAAAATGGTCGAGTGCACTGTTTGAACCAGGAGACCCGAAGGGATCCCTCAGCCACTTTAAAATCCGTGAAGCCTGAGCGGCTCGGATCCCCTTTGGATTTGGGGAGCAAAGAGAAACGAAGGTTTGCTCATTGCTGTCCAGGTCCAGGAGCCCCTTCTCAGACCTGGCTCTCCCTCCACTCCTCAGGATTTTTCTGTTCTTCTCTCTGGTGTCAGCTCTGTAGCTTCTTTGAACAGAGAGTCCGTCCAGAAGCCAAGCCCACATCCATGCGAGCAGGGGTGAGGGCCTCTGCAGCTCCATCTTCCTGCTTGGCGGTTCCTGCAGGCCCAGCTAGCTAATAAATTAGGAGGCAGCGAAGACAAGGATGGGTGGGCAGGGTCTCTGAGTGTGTTTGAGGGTGAATAGGGTTGCAGAGTCTAATAAATGGAAAGGAACTATTTTAAATTTCCAGTCCCCATCAGCAATTGCCAGATTCCCTAAGATGTAGGGTCCTCTAAGTTCTGTTCTGCCAGCTGTGATGGCAGTGTGAGTCAAGCCCAAAGTGTCGCTTCTCCTCACTCCTTTCTGACCCTCTCTTCTCAGCATCGGAGATTGGGAGAGGGAAGTATATCTGAACTTCCGGGGAGAAACCCTAAAACCTAGCGTGTAGGAGGCACTGCCAAATAGCCCAACCCTAGGTTCGGGCTCCTGGCCTCGGGCTTCCCAGGAAGCCGGACACAACGCGGCTGCCTTCATGGGGGTCCCAAGTTACTTCATGGGGGTCCCAAGTGCCCTTCTCGGAGCGGCCAGGGTCTTGAGGATCGCTGAATGGGGCCGGCCGGGCAAAGGCGAGATGAAAGAGGCTGGTGGCCGCCCGGCTCCTCCTCCGGGTTCCACGCCGCGGCTGCTGCTGGCGCGGTGTCGCCTTCAGCTGGGTCACGACCCCAGGCTCGGACTGCGGACAATAGGGCGCAGGGCGGGGGCGCAGGCTGCTTGGCCGGCCAGGCGGGTTCACCGCGCCATGAACTCCGCTCCACCCCCCAGGGCTCGCCCTTTAGAGCCCAGGATCCCTTTTCTCTCTCCTCTTCCACCTTCCATTTTTGCGTGGAAAATTGAGTGGACTCGCAGTTGCCCCTCGACCTACCAGTACCCCAGCGGCACTGCCACCAAATATGGAGACCTCATTTTCTTTAGAAATGAGAGGACAGTTTTCTCAGAGTTACAAGAGCAGGAAATGGGACCCTCTCAAGATTTTGGTGGGGACAGAGAGGGGAGATCTAGTTAGTAGTAGGGCATCCCAAAAATCCGGACTTGGCAGCTCTGAAGAATCCCAGGCCCTCAAACCAACAGTCTCCTCCACCCGAGGAATTCCAGGCCAAGAACCGGTCCTCCCCC